TTGGATCACAACTCTCTGAATTATGCAGGCGACATAGCTGCTTTTCATGCTTGCTGAAGGATTCTGGAGGCTTCAGCCTGAAACACACGCACCCCTTCCAGTGTTTCCAATTTATGGATTTCCATGGGTTGGTGTGTGTGATCGGCCTTCTTGTGTGATGGAGAATGGTGTTTTACAGTGGACCCTCTACTTACGGAATTAATCCATATTGGAATGGTGGCTGCAGGTTGAAAAGTCTGTAGGTCGAGTCTCCATTTACCTACAATGCATTGAAACCGATTAATCCGTAACCGGTCGTTTTTGTTCCGCTGTTGTTCCATTTTGTTTTTTTTTTCTGGTCTGTAAGTCAATTCTCTGGCTGCAACTCGAATCTAAATTTTGCAGCCAGAGAAGTCTGTAACTCAAAAAGTCTGTAAGTCGAGCCGTCTGTAAGTTGAGGGTCCACTGTACTTGGCACATAGGCGGGGAGATCCGTTCACTCCGTCCTCCTCTCCCTTTGCCCGCACAGAATGGGAGACGCCCAGATGGCAGAGTTCGGAGCGGCTGCCCCTTACCTCCGGAAGTCGGACAAGGAGCGTCTGGAAGCGCAAACCCGTCCGTTTGACCTCCGCACGGAGTGTTTTGTGCCCGACGAGAAAGAAGAGTTCGTCAAGGGCAAGGTGACCAGTCGAGAAGGCGGCATGGTCACCGTGCAAACCGAGAATGGCAAGGTACCCCTGGCAAATGTGGGGCAGGCTGGAGCAGGGCTCAGAGGTCAAAATGGGAGGGGGGCAGGAGGGGGTTAGCTCAACCCATCAGGAAGGTACAAGTCGAAAATACAAGCGGCCTTGTCCTGAAAAAAAATATAGGGAATCAAAAGTGACCATCTCGATGTACCTGCTACGATGTTTGAAAGTAATCCATCATCATTACCCATGACAATGTAATGCAAGTAATTGGTTGCATTACTCATGACTTTGCCATTTGCTTGATGTGAGGGAGGGAAGACTGAGAAGAAAAATAGTACCAAACTGTCCTGATCAATCTGTGTTTAAAAATGCCTTGAGGTTACGTTTTAAAGGTTTACAAAAATGCCTTAAGGTTATATTTGAAAGGTTTACCGAAAGTTGAAAGTTGCTAAGCAGCAAAATCATGTGGCTCCTGCTCATTGCCTTACTTGTAAAAGTTTTTGAAGTCCCGGTGAACCGAAAAGAGGGTGAAACTTGTCACGGATTACGGTACTCCTTATTAACCACTTCATCTGCAAGCTCTCGTGAGCTATTGGGGTTCAGGGACGAAGGCTCAAGTGGGAGTTGAATTTGGGGAGTGCCATAGTCTCCGGACTTGAAACAGAGAGAATTCTCTTAACCTGTATCCCCTTCTTCCCACCCTTCTTCGTTTAGACAGTGACGGTGAAAGAGGCCGATGTCCATCAACAGAATCCACCCAAATTCGACAAGATTGAGGACATGGCTATGCTGACGTTTCTCCACGAACCCGCCGTTCTTTATAATCTGAAGGAACGCTACGCGTCGTGGATGATCTATGTAAGTCAAAAAACAAAGTGGGCTTCCATCATCTAGGGCAGTGGTTCTCAACCTACGATCCCCAAATGTTCAGGAATCCTGGCCAGCCCAGCTAGTGGTGTGAAGGCTTCTGGGAGTTTTCGTCCAAGAACATCTGAGGATTCAAAGTTAAGAACCATTTTTAAGTCCAAACCTTGCGGGAACTATCCGCGGTGCTGAATGATTTTAATTTCTGAACAATTCTGTGACATATCTTAGACAGAAAGATCAAATGTCTGCCTCAAAACCATCCCAGTGAGTTTTATGGAGGCATAGGGGTTTCAGTCTTAAAATCATGGCTCACAGCAGCACGACGTTTGAACCTCACTGCTACTCTGAATTCTCTGATCTGGACTGTGCCGTTCTCCCTGTAAGCCCATTACTTGTCAAGAAATATTCCCCTATATAGATTTTCATCACTCTTCCAGGGCAGCAAAATTAGTTTTCCAAACCCACAGCCAGAATCTGGGAAAATTCCTTTTTTTTCCCTCCATTATCTCTCGGACGTCAGCTCTCACAATCCCTCATTTAGACCGTGGCTACGACCGGCTGGGGGATTCTGGGCTCTGTAGTCCAAAAATGTAACTTTTCCCTCGCTTTCCTTCCAAAAGTCGCCCGTGAAGCACCTCGTTCGTTATTCTTCCTTCCCATTAAAACCAAGGACATTTTAAGCATAGATGGATAGCAGGCATAACCAGGGGCATTTGGTCACATCCTGCTCATGGGGAAAAGGTGAACAATGTTTTGTTCTATGCAACTAAGATTTGTTTAAAATGCAAAACGTCGGTACAAAATGCACCTCCCGATGAGGCAAACAGGTGTGTCGTTGTTGTCTTTAAATAATAGATCCTCACACGCTTCCCTTTTTCTGGGTCAGAGCCTGGAAAATCTGTTTTGTAGAGCGGCCTCGTTCCTACACCTTTTGGACTTTCTCATGCACTGCGTACAGCTCTTTGCAAACGCCAGCGGCATGTGCACCTGTACGGTGTACCAGCCAAACCCTTCCTTCTAACCAGCTCGGTGTCTTCTTGTTTCCTCCACCTTTTCTCCCTCCAGACATATTCCGGGCTCTTTTGTGTGACCGTTAACCCTTACAAATGGCTGCCGGTCTACAACGCTGAGGTCGTCGCCGCCTATCGGGGGAAGAAGCGAAGCGAAGCCCCGCCCCACATCTTCTCCATCTCTGACAACGCGTACCAATACATGTTGACAGGTATGAGAGCAAGTGGCTCTTTTCTTCCCTGCTTGTTTCAGACATTTCTCTACCAGGAACTTGTTGGAAGTGCAAGGACACCACCAGAGAAGTAGAAAGTTACTTGCTGTGAAGTCGCACTGGGGAATCTAGGTATTCCCAGGTCCACTTGTGTTAACTGGCCACATAGGGAGAGAGGAGGAAATTGGCTAACAGCCCTATTTGCAGCTTGTTAACATAGGTTTCATGTAGGCCTGTAGGAGGCGTGGTTACAGGGGAACTACCTAATAAGCTATAAACAAGAGTTGTGTAGTAATTTCCTTCCTTCCTTCCCTCCCTGCTTTCTTTCTTTCTTTCTTTCTTTCTTTCTTTCTTTCTTTCTTTCTTTCTTTCTTTCTTTCTTTCTTTCTTTCTTTCTTTCTTTCTTTCTTTCTTTCTTTCTTTCTTTCTTTCTTCTGTCCGTCCTTCCTTCCCTCCTTCCTTCCTTCCTTCCTTCCTTCCTTCCTTCCTTCCTTCCTTCCTTTGCACCAAGCCTTTGAAAATAGTATATTTATAAATATCCAGAATTCCTGGGCTGGATCTTTGCCCATCCCCAACCACCGCATCATTGAGCGCACTTTTTCCAGAATTGGTTCAAACAATCACACCCGCTGAACCCATGCAAATGGATCCAATGCCAAAAAAAGTAAAATCCTCAATGCCAGAGGCAAAAACTGCAGATGGGGAGGGGGAACTCCTGGCTGATTCACATTGCTTTTTCGTCTTATGGTCAATGAAAAAAAGAATGCAAATCAAGTCCCATTCCTTAGCATTTTCTGCATTTTTTATCAATGTGGCTGCACCCTGAACCACTTTTCTCTGTGCAACTCCTCGTCCTGTAAGCTTTAAATTAAAATAGTCTGAATCTTGAGGATGCATTTGGGAGCCTAAGCCTAGATAATCAAATGGGAAAGAGGCCGATCCAAGCTGCCTGGGAATAGAACCTCCATGTTCTAGATTACTCTATCTCTGACAATGAGTTGTTAAGGAGACAGCAAGCTGGGTTTGGAAAGCCTTCAGTCTGACTGTGTGCACCTATCCTTAATATCCCCTTTTTTTCCAGATCGAGAAAACCAGTCTGTCCTCATCACGTGAGTGTCAAAATATTTATTATTGTTCCTTTTTGTTGGTAACATTTTTAACTGGTTATTATTTTTCAAAATGATTGAAGCTCTTCGCAAGATGAAAGCATAGCTTAAAACCAAATGCAGATGTACAAAAAACCCTCCAAAACTATATATGACATATTTCAAAATTCTGTTGAAATCAGTCCTTAATCTTTTAATGTAAAGGTGTCTTGATGTATTTCTTAATTATCTAATTCCACTTCAAAACATTTTCTCTGTTTGTGGCTGATGATAAGTCCCAGAGGTTTGAAACAACAATGACATAGGTATATATTTCAATACCAAAAAACTGCAGAGTCTAGGGAGAAATGTCAGGGAACACCTGAACAAAAAGCTGTGTTTTCTTAACTATACAGTATATATAAAAATGTGTTTTCTTAACCAGACATATTTCAAAATTCTGTTGAAATCAATCCTTAATCTTTTAATGTAAAGGTGTCTTGATGTATTTCTTAATTATCTAATTCCACTTCAAAATATTTTCTCTATTTGTGGCTGATGATAAGTCCCAGAGGTTTGAAACAACAATAACATAGGTATATATTTCAATACCAAAGAACTGCAGAGTCTAGGGAGAAATGTCATGGAACACCTGAACAAGAAGCTGTGTTTTCTTAACTATATATATAAAAATGTGTTTTCTTAAGCATATATAAAAAAATCTTCAAATGATGTATTTCAATTCCCAAACAGCAGAGGGAGAGAGAGAGCATTTTCAATGGTTACTTGCTTCTACTTGAGAACAGAAATCCAAGATAAGAACAGGAAAAAAACCTTTCCTGCTCTTTTTTTAACCTTAGGTCATCTTAGGTTAAAAAAAATTCTCCCCCTAGTGGTAGAGTACGTATTAACCAGCTTTGCATTAGTTCCTATGGGAACTAATGCTTCAATGTACGAACGCACCTCTACATAACAAAAAAACAGCCAGAACGGATTAATTGGTTTTCAGTCCATTCCTATGGGAAATTTTGCTTCAACTTAAGAACGTTTCAACTTAAGAACACCATTCCAAAACGGATTAAGTTCTTAAGTAGAGGTTCCACTGTAGTTTCTATGGACGGAAAAGAGCAGATACAGATTAAATGGTTTTCAATGCATTCCTATGGGAAATGCAGATTCAACATAAGAACTTTTCAACTTGAGAACCACCTTCCAATACGGATTAAGTTCTTAAGTAGGGACCCCACTGTATAAAAAATCTTCAAATGATGTATTTCAATTCCCAAACAGCAGAGGGCGAGAGAGAGAGCATTTTCAATTGTTACAGGGGGGCCATCACAGAAAAGACCTTCTACTCCCAGGTGGTATTGTATGCGTTACTGCACAATCAACAAGTCTTCCTGGGAAAACCTTAAAAGAGCTAATCCAGAGGTGTACAAAGTGCAGGCTGCTTCTACAAAGCTGTAATAGGTGTTCTGGAAACTATTTAATCCCAAAGACTCCGTGGATTGTTCCCAGTTCCTAATAGTTCCAGAAAGACAAACCATGCTCCTAGACATCATGATTTTTCCCTATACATGGAATCCGCTGGTTGCTTGAACTCAAATTTTTATAGCCTTTCCCCTCCCTGTTCTTTTCTCCTATTCCCTGAATAGAAAAAGATTTTTAAAAAATCAGAAATCACTGGGAGGTCCAGGAGCAATCACAAAAGTGTCTAGACTCATGGAAGATTTGAATCATTGTTTTCATTGTATAATGCTGTAACTGTTATCATATATTAATTGTTTTTATCTTGTCTGTTGTGAGCCGCCCAGAGTAGACAATATCTAGATGGGTGGCGTATAAGTGCAATCAATCAATCAATCAAACAATAAGATGCTCACCCCTGATCTAAAACATATAAGTGCAATCAATCAATCAATCAATAAGATGTTCACCCCTGATCTAAAAGGCTTAGAATGGGGAAGATGATCCTTTGATTATCCAAGGTCTAAGTTGTTCAAGGTTTTATATAAGATAGAATTTTTCTATTTAACACATTCTATGTCCTAGTGGTTACAGAGAGAGATAGAGAGAGAGAGAGAGAGAGAGAGAGAGAGAGATTTAAAAGATGATTTCCTAATCAGCCTTCTTTTCCCCCACCATCCTGCCTCGCCATCCTATTCCATCTTTATTCCAGCGGAGAATCCGGTGCAGGAAAGACGGTGAACACCAAACGGGTGATCCAATATTTTGCCAGCATAGCGGCTATCGGGGATCGCAAGAAAGAGTCAGCCAACACGAGCAAGGTATTGATCGTTACTGATCATTGGTAATAGCCTTCCTGGAACCTGGCTTGGGGTCATGGCGCTCCCGATTTGTGGGATGAGAATTCCCATCATCTCAAACTGGGGGGGGGGTGACTGGTCTCAAACTGGTTGCCTAGCCCAGGTCTTACTTTCCCATTCCTTTTTAATAATAATCTTAGAACTGTAGAGTAGGAAGGGACCTTCTAGATCATCAAGTCTATCCCTCGTCAAGTGGAGAATCAAACTGGATTGATAGTTGTGTCTTTTACCCCCCAAACCACATGGGACGTGTGTTTCACAACTGCATATCTACCTAATAGTTCTCCTTGGCGAGAGAGGTTCAATGTGTTCAGCTTGGCAAACTAATTCCATTTAACCCAGACTTCCTGTTACTGGCCGGTCCAGATGTCGCACTACATATCCCACCATCCACAAAGACTCCTGTGTGTGCTGACTGGGGACAACAGGACTGTTAGTCAGGCACTTCTGGAGGGCAGTGTTGGGTCAAGCTATCCCAACCGGGCTGTGTCGTTGGGTTAGTGGCCTGGTTGCCAAATTTTGTCCCGTGTACATTCAAGATCTCCCAGTGTTCGGAGCTCCCTCTCAGCTTTGGTTTAACCCTTCTTTTTTTCATTCAGGGGACTCTGGAAGATCAAATCATCCAAGCCAACCCTGCCCTGGAGGCTTTTGGCAACGCCAAAACTTTGCGGAACGACAACTCGTCCCGATTTGTGAGTGTTCCCCACCAGTTCTAAGAATCGGTCCAAGCTAAGAGAGATCCACAGACATCTTTTCTGGGAAGGATGATGTTGCCCTTTAGAGAGAAATTGGCCAAGGGGGTGGGACGGGATCGCTCTTTTTTTTTTTTCTGGCAGTGAGATTTTTCTGCATCGTTCCTCCTTAAAAAGAAATCGCACAGAAAAACTCATGGAATTTTTCAGAAGTTTCGTGGTCATTGTCTGGTGGAAGACGTGCCATCCTGCATAGGACTGCTACAAGTCCTATGTAGAATGGTATCTTTCCTGCACAGGATACGCTGCAGAGGACGTGAAATTGTGCCAAATTTGGTAACTGCTGGTGCAGAACAATGAGTGAAAAGCGGGAGAAACAGACAAGAAAATAAAAGGGAAACTGGTAAATATGCGCTCATAAGCAGAAATCTAGGTGATGGAGTCTCAACGTGGCCACACTCCGATGTCAGAAACTGAGAAAACTGGCGAGTTCGTATCACAGTTACTTTGCAAATAATTATGCCCAGGATCAAAGTCCAAGTATTAAAATATGTCCGGTTAAATATTTTTGTCACATTTTTGCCCTACACCCTCTTCCTTCCGAGGATCTTCAGGTCTCATGAGAGCTAATATCAGTTGCTAAAAAACAGACTTAAGAAGAGTTTAGTGGCTTATTTAAAACAACCCACTGCGTTTCATTAGACTCGGGTCTAATGACTTCAAAGCCCATATTCCCGTATATTCACATCCTTATGTTTCTGCCTTCAATCAAAATGGAACACACATTTTTAAAAAATCAGATCAAAATGAGACGGCAGCCATGAAGGATCGAAAACAAGATTCTTTTTTGGGGATCCTGTTACAGTAGACCTGCTGACTCAATGAGATTTATGCAAGTGTTGACACCACGTGGCAACTGATTCTGTGGGTCTACTTGTCATTAAGACTAGCAATAAGATATAGGTACAGTGGGGTCTTGACTTGAGAACTTAATCCGTATTGGAAGGCAGTTCTCAGGTCGAAAAGTTCTTAAGTCGAATCTGCATTTCCCATAGGAATGCATTGAAAACCATTTAATCCGTATCTGCTCTTTTCGTCCATAGAAACTAATGGGAAGCTGCTATTCCACCTTCTGCCACTAGAGGGGGATATTTTTTTCTTTTTTCCTTTTAA